AAAGAGAAACCCTGTCTCAACATTGCCCCCACCCCAAAAAAAAGTGCTAAAATATAAAAGTCAAAAGTCTCATACTGTATTTATTTGGGCAAGCTGATAAACTCTTATTTATAATTTAGGAAATAAGTAACTATCACCAGCTCCCAGAACCTCACAAAATGAAATCCTCATTAAACTAGGTAAGTCTGCCTCAGAAGGAAAACACAATAATGCCAGACCCTCACTCTGTCGTCAAGTGTGTCTGCGGATTGGGGACTCAGCATAGAAATACCTCAAATCTGACAAGAAACATGGCTAGTCTTTCTATCTCTTTTTTGAATGTGAGCCGCACTACCAAGAATACTAGACACCGCGATTCAAGGAGGCACAAACGGGAGTCCTATCCCAAACATGAATCAGACTAGCAAAATGACTGCTCCCACAGACTTCCTCACCTAGGGACAGGAAAATACAGCTCAAGTTGTATTTGTAGACTGCATTTGGACTTAAGTCTTCTCAAGAATGAAATTCTAAATACCACATCTTGTTACCATATAGTTTAAAAAACTCAGGAAATCCCTACTAAATTCAAATATGGGCAGGATCACAACACTGACTTTACACAAGTGACTGGAGTGGCAACATCAGTGTAAGTCTATGTGCCAAGAGACCATTGTAGTCAAAGTATAGATTCGGTGAATTTAAAAGTTGTAAATCATGTCCTGGAAATATCTGGAAAGACATATAACTCAGTGGAAAGAGTCAAAAATGCACATTAGAGTTTAGAGACATTGCTAGATGACAATATTTTAAGCCAGTTCCTTCTCTATAAGACAGACATAATAGCTTCATGTCACAGGGCTCTTAGGAAGATGAACAGGGTAACAGCAATAGGTAACTTTAAAGGAGCCCTAGGTTTTTAGACTTAATTCCAAGTTCACTTTGCTTTTTGTCATTAAATTGTTCTAGCACATAGGACAAATCATTTAACCTGTAGTATTTTCTTATCTGTCAGATTATGAAAATAACATATGCCCAGTACATCTTACAGATACTGCCAAAAATCACATATGAAAACTCATACAGAAAAGAGTTTTGAAAAATTAACAAATACATAACTGAAGTAGGTAATTCAGTATTTATAAAACATGAAAGAAATTTGGGGCTGAAGAAATGCTCAGCAGTTAAAAGCACAGCTGCTTTTGGGTTTGGTTCCCAGCACCTACATGGTACTCACAACCATCTGCAACTCCAGTTCTGGGGGTATTCAATGTCACCTTCTAGCTTCCATGGACAAGTGTGCATACATATAACACACAGATAAAACACTCATATACATAAAATAAGTAATGTCTTTAAAAACCTACATTGAAACAAGAAAGAAAAGAGACAGAGGTATGAATGAAAAGCAAGTATTATAGTTTTGTGCTTAAATATCTTTTAAAGGTTCATATGCACAAGGTTTGGTGGCCAGCCTGCCAGACTGGGACTTTTAGGAGGTGGGGCTTACTCAGACCTCTCCTATTCTAAATTCCTCCCCACAGGTGCTACCGCAGGCCCAAAACAATGAGGCCAGATGTTCACAAATCAATCTTAAGGAGCTCATTAACAGAGAAGTAAAATACTGATGTGTGGAACTTTGGCAGGACACACTTATAAATGGTGGAACCCTGCCTAAGTATTTCACACGTGGCCCCTCCATTGCCCTCTGTTATGCAAGCAGCAACATTTCAAGCCAGTTCCCTGATTTCACTAGTGAGCTCTGTCAACACTGAGGTAACAGAACTGGAGAAAGTCATCACTCCACAGAGATAGTCAAAATCAGAAGTTTTCATTTGGTAAAAATTTTATCAGTGCCAAATAAAACTAATGCAAATTTAGTAAAATATGCAAGACTTTGAGTAGTTCTTTTGTTGAAAAGGACTCTTGGGGAGCTTCCAATCCATCAGGCAATTGTGTAGGCCCTCTTTTGCTCCTTTGCCCTTTTCACACCCCATCTCTCAAGTGTGGGGCAGGGGGAAAAGGGCGTGGGAAGCCAGAATGAACTAATCAGCATGTATTTATGTATTCATTCTACTCTAAATCTATTCCCACAGGTTTTTCCTAATGCTATGCACCTCCAGAAAGAGAACCATGTTTATTCATCTCATCTCCAAATTCCCCAAACCTAACCAATACCCTTCATATAAAGTCACCCTTACCAGCTCTGAATGCCAGGCAACAGAAGGAGACTAGAGACAGAAATGTAAGAGACAGAAATCTCATCCACACTGAACCCGAACTATGGAGATGAGAGACAGAAGAATGGACGTTAGTGGCAGACATCCAATCAAATAAGGAAGATCCAGCTAGCATAGTCCTACCTATGCTTCCTTCTCTTGCCTCTTACTACCAACCAAGAATTAAAAGAACAAAAACAGTCGGTCTTTTCAAAAATATGTGCATTTCCATCCCTGACCATAGTCATTTCATACACATTCAACATGTTATATGAGATAGTTACAGAGATTAACCTGTATGAACTGCAAAGCCAGAGTACTCTAACACTCACAAACCCATGGCAATGAGTTGAGACTTGAGATAATCAGAGGCCTTGCCCTACTAGATAACTTAAGGCAGTTCTCTGTGCATCCATTTCCTCATCTGCAAAATGGAAACAGTAAGTTCTTAGTACTGTTTTAATTATTAAATGAATGTATGTAAAAATACTTAAAACTTTGCCTGGAATATAGTTCATATATACATTATGCTATTATTATTTTTACTAGTACTCATCATTATTATATTTAACAAGCATCTAAGACTTTTATTTTTCCTCCCAAACCTGTAATCTCATAAAATAGCACCACTATTCTCCTAGTTCTTCTACCCTAACCCTAAAAAGTTATTACTTCTCCCTTCTCCTAGCCAGTAAGTCTTGTCAACAGAGTTCCACCTCTTAATGTCACCTCCACAGGTGCCTCTACTAGTCCAAGGTATCACACCATCTCTTTTCTCAAGGTAAGACAGCAACAGCCTCATCCCTCCTCATTTTCATGGCCCCTCCACCACTCCATGACTCTACAGTTAATTCTCTATGAAGTAAAGTAGGAAAAAGATACCATTCCCATAATGGTACTGTCTTGTGTTTTTTGTTTTCTAATATACTCAGGAGTAACATGTTTACTTTGACACAGGCTCCAAGAACCCACCAGAGTCTATCAGATGTTTCAAGGTTACATGTCAACACTTCTTTCTCCTTCCTTATAATGCTCTGAGACACAATAGTCATTTGGAACAGTCTCTCAAATCAAATGACCTAAATTCAAATGGTAAAAAGTTATAGCAGTGCCAAATAAAACTAGTGCAAATTTAGTAAAATATGCAAGACTTAGAGTCTCTTTAGCTTTTAGCTTGAGTAAACATCTAACATGTGCCTGTTTCCTCATCTATAAAAATGGAGGTAGTTTTTTTTTAGCTTAAAAGGTTATTATACAGCTTTCAGTGTTTAGCGCTGTGCCTTGCATATGGCAAATTTTCCAGGCCAGGTGGTAATACTCTCTCCATCCACCACTTCCAGGTGGAAACTGAACCCAGGGCTAGAGCTTGATAACTAAGCTTCATATTCTATAGTCCTATTTTTACCCAAGCTTGCCCTAGACTCTACCTGCAGCCAAGGCTGTCTTGAACTTGTGCTTCTCCTGACATGGCCTCCCAGGGAGCTTGAAAGCCACTAGCTGGGCTCCTGCTGGGCTCATACCCTGTCTCAGAACGACTCAACTGCCCCCTTCTTTGAATGGTCATCCCTGAGAGACTATTTTAAACAACTTCCACTGTTCCTTCATCATCCTCATACCTCACTTCACTGAACTCACCCCTATGTGAAACAATTTTACGTGCCTATTCCTTGTTGTCTATTTCTCCACTGTAAATGAACTCTGCTAGGGTGCAGACTCTGTCTTCTTCACCTTTGCCACTTGACTAGTTCTGACTCAGAACCTGACTTCTGAATGCAGTATCTCATCTTGGGTGGGGGCTGATGCAAATAACATACCATACTTGGAAGGCTGCCTGTGCTCTTCATCATGGTCTTATTTGATCCTTGTAAAAGTAACAAAAGCTACACCATCATCTCCCATTTAGAGACAGAGTTTAGAGAAACAAAAAGGTTCCAAGACCTAGATGACTTGTCTCTGGAAAGTTATTAACTTAACTAAACTCAGAAGCCCTGCTTTGATTCAAAGGGCCCTCTGTAAGGATGTAACACCCTCTACTAACTTCTCAGAAATGTGGCCTCTTAATCCACTGTATAAATCCACCCTAGGATGTGTATATTCCCTTCAAAGTTCCTGACAAGTTCTTGTCCCAGTTTTGAGAGGTGTTACAGTGTTGTGACTAACTCTTCGGTAAGGCAAGAGTTAGCTAAATCCTATAAGCATACAAGTTGACTACTCTATCTACTTGTGTTGAATATAATCTTCTAGTTCTGGGCTGCTAAAAACATGTTCTGTAAAACCAGATGGGGAGGAACAACATATTGCCAAGATCTCTGTGATAGTGATACTAGTTATTATTTCTTGATCCCAGATCAATCAATACAATAGCTGAGATACCTTCAGGTTCAAAAGTCATGATCAGATGGGTCGGGGTAGGAGGTGTGGGAAGGAGGCAAAGCCCTGAGAAAGATCCTTACATATAAATGGGTTATCATATTCCTCAGAACAATCAATATTTTCATGAGCGTTGTGTAGGATTGCATAGCTTGGGTGAGCTCACAGGGTCTCAACGCATTGTGGCCCTATGGAAAGGAAAATAAGAGAAGCTGGAGGCAACACAGCATGTAGTTGTCATCAGCCACCTGGGCATCTGCAGAATGCCAAAGGAAGATGGGCAAAGGGCTGCTAGTCTTTGAAGGGACTCTCCATCCCAAGCTGACCAAGCATGTCCTACTGCAAGATGAGAAGGGGACTGGGACTGTAATCTCTTTATCAACGATTTTTAAGGAGGGCCTAGCCAGTTCCCCGTTCCCAGGCCTTAATCACCCTCTCTTAGCTGTCACAGGCCAGCGGGAAAGGTGCTGGCCGGACTCAGGAGCCGCCTCGCCTCCACAAGCCGGCGGTGACGGGAGGGCGCGCTCCCACTTGGGGCGATCACCGGCCCGGCGTCACGTTCGGTGGCTCCCGGGTCTCCCGAGGCTTCCCGGTGCCCGCGGCCAACACCGCGATCGTGACAGCGAGCGGCCCTCGGGTCCCGCGAGCCCCGCAAGCCAAGCTGCTGCAGGATCCTCGCAAACTTACAGTTTTCCTACTGCGTACGCGTCACGGCGGGGTGACGTCACGGGCGGCGTTCAACGAGGTCAGCCCGCGGGCGCGGCGCTCGGGCCCAGGCCCCGCCTCCAGCCACAGCCAGCGACGGGAGACGCCCCGTCCCGCCCTGCCCGGACGGCGCGCAAGCGCACACGGCTAGCTGCCGCGTGCCCGTGGGCTTCGCGGGCAGGCGCGCCCAGGTGGCCACTCTTCATCTTCACACAGCCCCTGGGGCGAGAATGCGAGGACGAGAACAAGCCAAACGAATTCTCGCCCGTATTGGAGCGGGAAAAAAGGGTTCTTACGTAGTTCTTCCGCAGACACTGCCTTCCTCCTCTCACCTGGCCACTAAAACTTCTACACGTTTGGTAACAGACACTTGATGTCCACCAGGGACCTACGGGTTCTCCGCCCGGGTCACAAGGGCAACTCTCCCATGGGCCTTTGCGCTGTCCCACTTCTGCCCCCCCAGCCCCTCCCGCCGGCGCCCATCTAGACACGCCCACCAAGAGCAGGCCACGCCCGCTCCAGCTCAACCAGAGCGAGCCCCGCCTACGCACGGCCCGCCCACGTCCGGCTAAGCCCCGCCCTCGGGACCCGCCCTTCCGGCTCCGGCTTGTCGAGTCTACTGTTGCGGAGCGGCCCCTCCCTCCCAGTGCACTGTCAACTTTCCTCTGCTGGAGGAATTTCTTTTACTCTTCCTACTGCATTTCCCTTTTTGGCCCAAGGAAACCTTTTACAAGTCACCTGTTAAGTTTAAAAAGTAGTGACCCGAGTAAACTTTCCATCCTCCCCCGCAGGTGACGAAAACCCGACCGTCTAGCTCTGGCTAAAAGACCACTGCAAAGAAAGTGAAGGCATAGAGTGGACCACACAATCGGAAGGTGAATTAGGCTTCATAGGAGCACCACATTACTCCTTCAGGCAGAAAAAAAGTAAACCTTATGTTTAAAAAAAACCAAGCTGTTGTCTTGCAGCAAACATAAAACGCCTTGGAAAAAACTAGCACCTAGAAGAGGAAATATTGAAAATAGCGAGGATCGCTTTTTATAATTTAGAGACAAATAGCCTGGTGAGGAATTTTGCAGGGCAGTGCCTGTGTATATTTAAATCTAAAACAATGGTTTGTTTACACTTTTCCTTGGGAGTGATGATTGGGAAACTGGTAGTTTTTAACCAGAGATGGGACCTGGTTGAAAATCAGCTTCTAAGCAGAAGCAGGAAAGGTTGATTTCAGAACAGTCTGTACCGAAAAGATCCTGCTTCAAAAAATAAAATAATAATGTATCCCAGGAAATCTATGTAGATAATTAGTTTTGAAAGAACTTAATCTGTGCAGCTAAATACTTTGCAATGTTTGGGTCCTTATCAAATTATATAAGATAAAATTTTAGAGCACACATAACTTAATAATAATTTTATTTTGTGCAACAATATGGAAAAATTAGCATTTTAAAAACTTCCACATATCTCTAAATAGTGGTATTTGCTTTTCATTAAGAGCAACTTTAAGATTCTGTCTTTTCATTATTCACATTCTGACAAGTCTTCTATATCATTTTTCCAAACAGGAATTTTTTTTTTGAAGTGATCTTCTAGCTAATGCTTTAGATTCTTCCACAGGAGTCTGTAATTTTTTTTTTTAAGAGTAGAAATACTATGTACTAAATGTGTTAAATGTTTTTAGTATAGGTCATGACAAAAAAAAATATTTTTTGATCATTTGATTATTCAGTGTTTTTCACCCTAATTCCACCTAAAGTTAGTTTGTGTATGTAGGATTTGTGTTCAAGGGTGTATGTGTATTGGCCTATGAGTACCATGGTATACATGTGGAGGTCAGAGAGCAGCCTCAGTTGTGGGTTCTACCTAGCCTTCCATCTTGTTTAAGGCAAGTTCTCTGTGTTGTTGATGTGCTGTACATTAGCCAAAGATCCTCCTAGCTCCACCTCCCATCTCACTACAGGAGCACTTTAATTACAGATTGGAGTTACTACATCCAATTTTAGAAGGATTCTGAAGATTTGAACTCAGGTCCTTACACTTATGCAGCAAGCACTTTACCCACTGAGCCATCTCCCCAGTCCCACAAGTATATTTGTAGAAATCTGTATTTCTTCCTGCAAAAAAAAAAAAAAAAAAAAAAAAAAAAAAAAAGAAGGAAATGTGATAAACAAAAAGACTGAGAAGGGAACTTGAATGTCAAATAGAATTTTTCAGTACAGGGGTGAGAAGTACACTCTAAATATGTGAAACATCTTTAATGTGGGATACATTCACCTTTATAGAATATACTCACATAGAAGCACAATGAGATTTGGTGGTGCTTCTGTATGAACTAGAATTTGATCTAAATGAGTAATTAGAACCTAGCTAGCGCTGAAAGTATTCATATTAAAGAGAAGGGCTGCAGGCAGAGCTGACTTTAAGGAAATAGACATTTCCACCTTCTGGGGTCAGCTCTGGACACACTGAGCACTGTAGTCTTAGGGATGTGGCTTTATCCTTAAGATTCTTTCATTTTGATATCTGTTGTCCCTAACAATCTACTTTCCAGAGTCTTTTACTTCAACACACATAATACTTCCTTTGGTTTTACTTAGCAACCTGAGTAGAGCCCAACACCACACTTGCAAAAAAGTACCTAATACTAGAAAGAAATTTAAAAAGAAATACAATGGCTAATGTTTCCTGGGTGTTAGATACCAAGCACCCTATTACCTCATTTAGTTCTTGAAACTGAGTATGTACTGTAATTATTCCCATCTTACCCCCCACTGGGCAAGCAAGATTGTATGAGACCATTACAGGAGATGAGTAGCAGAAGCAAGACTTGAAACTCCCTAACCCACACTCATAATAATCCCTGATCTGTATAGTTTCATGAAAGCACAAACACACACACACTCAATAAAGAAAAACAAGAAAGAAAAAAAAAAACAGAAATTCAAGGACTATTATGTAAAATTTTGAAACACTGACCACAGTGTATCACTACCATCACAATTTACCATTCTGTTTCCAGCAGATAATTCTGTTTTTAAGGTGCTCATTGTGGCCAATATGTTAATTTTGTGATTCATTAATGCATTCTCACCTTAAGAAGTATAAAACATTAAATTGCTGTTTCATCACATATAAGAATAATTTAGGCCAGGAATGGTGATGCATGTCTTCAATCTTAGTACTCTGGAGGCAGTTAAAGGCAGCTCTCTGTGACTTCAAGGCCAGGCTGGTCTGCATAGTGAGTTATAGGCCAGCCAGAGACCCTATGTCAGAAAATGAAGTGGAGAAAGAGGAAGAGGGGTGGGAGGAGAACAAGGAATCTTTCTGAAAACAGCCTCTTCCACCTGACTGTAAACTCTGAGAGTGTGGAAAGTGCTCATTTGGATTAACATCAGATTCTCTATTAATATCTGTGCCCCTGGTGCTCTAAGTGGGTAACGTGTGGGGACAATTGACCACATCGACTCAAACAGTGGATGGGCATGTTGACACGTGGACTATAATCCCAGTACTCAGGAGACTGAGACAGGAGTAACACAAGTTTGAGGCCAGTCTCAAAACAAAAGTCCAAAGGCTGGGTAAGTTTCTTACTCAAAATGCTAGCTGTTTTCACAGAGTAGTAGGGCACTAAATCAACAAAAGGTATACTGAGACGGAATGTCCTTCAGGAGGAGAAACATACAGTGTAGTAACACTGAAACAATGAGCTGCTTTGGCTCTGCCCTCTGGGCTCTCCTTACAGACATAGTAACTTCTCCAAATTTCAGATGTAGGTAGGCTCCTGTGCTGGTTAGGTTTTTGTCAACTTGACACAAGCCAGAGTCCTCCAGGAAGAGGGAAACTTAGTTAAGAATGGCTGGATCAGATTGGCCTGATGGCAAGCCTGTGGTGCATTTTCTTGATTAATGATTTATGTGAGAGGGCACAGTGCACTGTGGGTAGTGCCACCCTTGAGCTGATGGTCTTGAGTGCTATAAGAAAGCAGGCTATGGGGAGCAAGCCAGCAAGTAGCACTACTCGCTGGCCTTTTTGCTCTGACTTCCCTTGATGATGGACTTCAACCTGGAAAATGACATAAACCATTTCCTCCCCAATTTGTTTCAGGCATTGATGCTTATCACAGCAATAGAAAACAAACAACCACACTCACTAAAGTTTATTCTTGATGAATGTCTTGGTTGGGTGTTGCTCCTCTAGGAACTCAGCGGAGTCAGGTCAGGCCACTTGGAGCTTTATTTGTAAGCCATCACCTGGAAAAGCTGAACAGACACTGGGGGATCTTAATGCTAATGAATTCTCTTAGACAAAGCATCTGGGACAAAAGATGCCCTGGTAGCAAAAGTTTGTGTCAGGGGAGCAGACTGAGAAAACAAGGGACCCTGCCCTTGCTCAGAGCAGCCAACCACATGATGGAGTTCAGAGCCAGGTGCATGATTTTGAGTGAGTTGATAACTGAAAGAAGCAAGCTGCCTCCTAGCGGGTGCTGGATTCAGAGACCTAGAAGACCATACAGGAAGTGTGGAAATGTTTGAAATTCTGCAAGGAAAATGGAGTTCACCTGGTACAGTCTATTGTCCCATGTAAACACTGTATTAGGCAGAATGTGCTGGCTTTGGTGCCTTTATATATTCTGTTTTCAGGACTGATTCTTCCCTTCTCCAATTGGAGACCTACTCACCTATAAGTCCAACTTATACCATTAATTACCTCTGCTGGTTATAGGTGCATTTTACTAGACACTTCCTATGCCCAAGGCACTACTAAACCTTCTGTGAACAGCTCCGTGGAATAGCTTTTACTAGTCTCCTATTTTACAGATGAAGAATAAAATGATTCAGGGACTTTTCCTAGGTCATGAAACCTGCCAACTCCACATGTTGATGTCTTAGTCCCCACTGAGAGGGTACCAGGAGTTAGGGTACAGGAGGTAAATTTAAATGAGGCCACCAGGAGAGGGTACAGCAAGAATGATGGCC